CACCAGCAGGCGAGTGATTTTTCCTCTTAGCACCAGGCCAGCCCCTCCTGCCAGCCTCCAGCGCCTGACCTGAGCACCACGCCTGAGAGCGAGAGGGAAGAACGAGAGACTTGGCGAAACCACACCGCAGCGCGTCTCCCAGGGCCTCCCAGGTCTGCTGGGAAAGCTGCCCCCCAATGGCTACATCTGCCGGCGGTGGGTGGGCTCGTCAAGCTGCCCTCAGAGGCCTGGGATTCGTCCTCGCATCCGGGGTCTCCCTGGAAATGCAAAGCTCGCGTGGCAGCAGGCGTCCCAAAGACCTGGTCATACATCACGCACAGGGTGTTATTCACAGCAGCCAGAATGTGGGCCCTGCACAAGCGGGTTTGAGGGATGAACAAACAAAATACAGTGTTTATCTAGGGACACGCTTCAGCCTCAAAAGGAAGGCCGTCTGCACAGCGGCTCTGCGCGCCCGGCTCGGAGGTGTCACGCCCAGTGAAGCGAGCTCAACACTGTGAACCTCGCTCACTGATGTGGGTGCCGCTGCTTCTGGGGTCTCTGCAGGAGTCTCTGCAGAGAGGACACATCTTCATACTTCCCTGTGTCCCCTCCTGGCCCCTCAGGTATTTGTCCAGGAAGGGACTCTTCCCGGGACCCCCTGGGGTTCTGGGCATCTCAGAAGCCGACAGGTGCATTTGGAAAAGATCCCAATAGCGGCCCCCAACCCGTTGAGATCCCCTGGAGAGAAGGGGCCCCCGCATCCGCCTGGAAGTCTCGTCCAAGGCTGCACCTCAGCACCAAGCAGAGCGGGCACTGCAGAAGGTACACAGACCGGGCTGCATTTACAAGGCTTCTCTGCTCAGTGCGTGCAGAAAGAATGGAGCTTGTTGGTGGGGGGTGAAGGACGTGTCCCCCGCCTCAGCTCAGAGATGTGGGCCCATCACCTACCAGACCAGCATCAAGCAGCAGGAGACCTTGCGGATGGCTGGGGTTCGAAAGAGGTCCAAGATGGAGTTGGAGGTGCGGACGCTTGCAAATTCGCTCTGGATGAAGGAGCTCACCACCTGGACCAGGAGCGTGTGACCAAGGGAGGGCGGGGACTGGGGCACTGGCTCTCTGCTAGGATTCCTCCCCCCTTGGGGGAGCCAAGGTCAGGGTCCCGAGGATGGCCGCCCCGTGCCCTCGCCATCCCGGGACTGGCCGGATGTCAGGTGAGCCCAGGACCCTGCGCTGCCGCTGCTTAGACGGAACCAGCCACCTGTGCCCGCGCGGGCACACGCCTGTCCTGGTCCCGGGACTCTGCATGGCCTCGGCAGAGAGCTCCTAAGCAGGTTATGTGACGCATCCAAACGTCAATTTCCCCATTGACAAAAGTGAGGCACTAAATGCCATCATGTACATAAACCCCGGGCTCGTGCCTAGCATGGGGCTCAGTCAATGGCACCAATTGCTAATCAGTGATAAGTGATTAGCAATAAAGGACAAATAGCCTACAAATGTGACAAGTGGCCTATAAGTGGGAGTCATAACAGATAGTGATGGGAGGTACAATAAATGGTGTGTTTGTTACCACGGATTCCCTGGTCATTTCATGTCATGATTTCTGCTTTGACACGTGTGTTGTGTGCCTTATTTCAAGTTCGGCTCCATGCCAGCGTGAGCAGACAGGTCGCCGGTGAACAGGTTGACGAACAAAGCAGTGGAAGGTGTGTCCTGATCACATGTGTCCTGATCACACGGTCATTGGGGGGCTGACCCTCCCCACATCTGTTCATTCCCGGTGTCTTCCGCTGGAGGGTGGGTGAGGGCTGGAAGCAACTGAATCCGAGCTCGGCTCGGCTCGAGGCTGACAAAAAGACCCACGACCCTTCACCTCCCCCACCCCCGCCTACCTCCCTGGTCAGCCGCTCCCCTTCCTCCTTCCGCCCGTTCATGGCCGCCACCTTCCGCAGGTTCTGCACCGCCAGCTGGCACTTGCCCTGCAGGAGGAGCCACCGGGAGGACTCTGGAAGCCACCTGGAGCCCAGAGGTGACGTGTGACCTGGAGCTGAGCGCAGCCATGACATCTCCCCAGCCAAGTCTACCTTCCTTCACTTTCCGGACCCTAAAACCAGCAGAGCGGCCCGCTGGCTGCAGACATGGGGTGACAGGGGCCTGCTTACGGTCCTCCCAGGAATCCTGGTGGGTGATCAGAGGCTACGAGGCACCTGGCTTCCACAGGTCCGGTTCTGACCTGGTTCTGACCTTAGCAGGTGGCCGTGCACATGGACCACTCCCTGGGCTGGGTCCGTACCCCCCGAAAATGCCCTGGGGCTGAGGTGAGGTGCGCCGACCGAGGGAAAGCCCTCGGTCTGCTCCGGACCGGCACCCTAATGGAGTCTACCAGTGTCCCGATAGCCAGGAAGGACACCTGGGCCCGGCGCCCCTGGACCACCTGCCCGCCTCGCGTCCCCCCATGCCCAGCGGGCCCAGGCCACTGTGCATCTCAAGCAGGTAAGGGAGAGGGGAGGGCTTGGCTCACAGGACACCCCCCACACCCCCACTTCATCGGGACATACCAAGAATACAGGAAAAAGACGAGGAACGGGACAGAGACGGCAAACTGCAGCCACCGCCAGGGGCGGATCAGGTAGGCCGTGCCGGCCAGGATGAGCTGGCCCAGCGTGAAGGAGAAGCCCAGCAGGACCCCCGCCACGGTGCGGCCCCGGGTGGGCATCCACTCCACAACTGCGGAGAGACGCAGCCGCTGTGGGACGCGGCGCCCCGCCTCTGCCCACCGGCCCCTTGGTGACGGTGCCGCCCCCAAAGCCCCCAACCCGCCAAGGCGTCCCCGACCTCCTCCCCAGGCCCAGGCTGCGGGTGGGCCAGAGAGCCAGTACCCGACTAAACCCTAACGCGTCCCAGGAAACCTTGATTGAATTGGGAAGGTTTTTCCCAGAAAGTTATAAAACACACAGGTAACTAACGTTAACAAACTTGACTTTCTAGAAATATGTATCTGGGAAATCAAAACCAGCCCAAACCAGCCCACTGTGGACAAAGTGAAGTCATCAGAAGGAAAGCCCAACAGGAGGGGCCGGCACGCCTGGCCCTGGGCGTTTCCTCGGAAGTCCAGGGGAAGAGCAGCGGGAGGTGAGGCGGCTGGCAGAGAGGAGCTACACGGCTTAGTTACAGGACTGTCCTGCAAATGGCAGCCGACCCCCCGGTTTCGCAGCAAAACCCCCCGGACTACGCGTGAGGAAGCAGAGGGCTTAAACCAAGCACTTTGCTCTCTGCTGCCCGGCCCTCCTCAGCGGCTCCACCCTCCAGCCTCCTCTCTGGCCTTCGTGGCCTGGGGGGCGCCTGTCACTGCCCACCCCAGGGGCGAGCTCATTAGTGCGGTTACCGCGGCCAGCCCTGAGAACCCTTGGCGCTGGGATGTGCGTGTCTGCGCCGCAGAGGCGGCAGGGTGGGGCCAGGCCCTTCTCTGGCACCTGTTTTGGAACCTCTGGCCTGGGTTCCAAAGGCTCCCCCCCGCCCCCCGTGAATATATTTTCCCAGCAGCTAAACAAGGGCCTGTGTGGGAGAAGGCAGGACCCTCGGAAAGCAGCCAGGGCGCTGGGCCCGTGCCCAACACGTGGTTGAGCGGAGACCAGGAGGCTCGCTGACTGCCAGCGCTGTGGGGGAGGTCACCCCCTGCGATTGTCCCCAGAGACCTCCTTAAAGCCACACTGCTCTGGGAAGTCTCTGGTGTGTTTGTGTGCAGGCATGTAGGGGTGTCTCAGTGTGGGTGTGGCAGGTGTCTGCGTGGCTCTGATGTCCTGTGCAGGGCCCAGAGGGAGGGCGGGGCGCCGCCCCCCGAGGCTGCCTCCACCCCAGGCTGCCCCCACCCCAGGCTGCCCCCACCCTGTTCCTCGGCAGTTTCCCAGCCCTTCACGTGGCCCTGACAGCAGGATTGTCCCTGGGGTACTAAGCCGCTGAAGTGGGCGCCTGCAGCTGGCGGCCCGTGTCCAGGGGGTCCTACCAGCTGGTGGGCCGTGTCCAGGGGGTCCTACCAGCTGGTGGGCCGTGTCCAGGGGGTCCTACCAGCTGGTGGCCTGAGTCCAGGGGTCCTCAGCTCTGCCTGGAACAGCCTGGAATGAGGCCTGACCTGTCCCCTTGGGTGGGTGGGACATCCCACCTGGCTCCCAGGAGCTGGGTGTCCACTCTGGTGCTAAGGACCACCTTTACCACCTGGTGAACCCCATCTTTCCTGAAGGCCACATCACTCAGGGCCAGCAGAAGCCCCAGGCACCACTGAGTCGTGTGTCCCTACGGGGATCCCACACAGAGCCTGGCACGAGTCGGGGCTAGGTGAGGGATCATGGCTGGTTAATTCGTGCAGGTACTGAGACTCAGCTTACAGGTGGACAAATCCCAAGCCGGGGCTGTGGCCCACTGCCCACCTGGCCGCCGCCTGAGAGCCGGGAATCCAGGACCCTGGTAGGAGGTTCCAGCTGAGGCCACTCCGTGAGAATCCCAAACCAGAGCGGCCGCTTCCTTGCCCAGGCCCCCCAGATGGACTCACCCAGAGAGAGGGAGTTGAGGATGATGCCGGAGAAGGTCATGCCCATCAGGAACCGGAAGGCACAGTAGGCCCCGAAGGAGCTGAAGTAGGCCGTGGCGGCCCCAGACACCGCCAGCTGCAAATACGACCAGACCAGCGGGGCCTTGCGGCCCAGCCTGAGCCGTGGACGCAGGGTCAGGGCCTGGGGCGGCAGCAGCTTCCCCGCGGGAGGGAAGCGGCCGAACGCAGCCCGAGAGGCCCAGGAGGGGCCTCGTTCCAAGACACTCGGACGCATTTACACACGCGCCCTTCTCTCACAGTCACACACCGACAGCCCGGCGGGGCCTGGGGCCCGCGGCCGTCCAGAGAGGGACCTCGTGGTGCCCTGGGTTGTGGCACGGCCACCCACGGCGCCTGAGCTGGGCCCACGGGGGGCAGTCTGGGGCTTGGGGCTGGAGCTGGAGAGGGCCCCCCAGAACCTGAACGGCAACAGTGAGAGTGGAGGTAGGAGGGGGGGTGGGGGGTCATCAGGCGCGGGTGGGGCCCCGGCCAAGCCAGCACCCGAGTTTCCTGCGCCTGTGCCGAAGGACCACTGCCCAGCCTGCAGGTGCTTCTGGTCAGTCCTGGCCCGTCCCCACAGCATGCACCATGGACACTAAGGAGGATGAGGAAGTCCCTGCCAGAGGGACACACGGAGGTCTCAAAGTGCAGGAAAAACAGGTGGAGAACAGTGAATTTGGGGTGCAGTGTTTCCACAGAAAGGGGTTGGGAGCTGTGCACACAGCTCAAATCATAAATGTCTGGAGAGACAGACACCAGGCAGCCCCTAGAAGTTACTGGGGTGCGGTGGTGGGGTACGATGCGAGAGGGACCCTTCTCTCGTGCTTCCTGAAATTTTTGAAACGGGTAAGAGTATGTTTTATCTGTTTAAAAACACATGTAGGGCCCCCTGGAGGTGCAGGGGTTAAAGACACAGCGCTGTCACGCTGTCATCAGCCACTAACGCAAGTTCGATCCCGGCCAGGGAGGGACCCACAGGGCGCAGCAGACCCCTCCTGTCTCCCCGCTGCTCCCCTCAGCAGTGTGTCTCAGTGGCTCCACCTATTCTGCTCCCAACTGTCTCTGGTGAATCCTCTCACCCCTACCCTGCACCTCTGGCCTGTACCCCAGTTGTGTGTGCATAAATAAATCTTTTTTAAAAAATAAAAAACACACGCATACAACTTTGTAAAGAAAATCAAGACTTCCCCCAAGACTTTCCCACCAGCCCTGGGGGGCTGGGGCCCGCAGGCTCACCTGTCTGCAAGGCTGCCAAACACAGCCGCACCCACCAGGACCCCGGCCATGTAGATGGACTGAGCCAGGTCTCGGAGGGTTCGGGCCTCACACACCAGATCCCACTGCAGGGGAGACAGGGCTGTCCAGTCTCGGCCTCTGGCCGCAGCCCCCCGTGCCGCCTGGGCCCACTGACCTCCATCACGATGGTGGACGGGAAAACACTGCGGTCGTAGGCCCAGCCGTCCTTGCAGCCCTCCGTGGCTGCCCCAGGGACGGAGGTGTTGGGGTGCAGGAGGGCCCACTGAGGTTCGGTGAAGCGCTGGCATGGCTCAGGGACCCCAAATCGGTCCAGGGGTATGGTGGCCCTCAACCAGGCCCCCGAGTCATTGGCGGTGGCCGCGGTGTGATTGGGGGGGCTCTGGCAGTGGTGGGGGGGCACGGCAGCCGTGAAGTTCTGCAGGAAGTTGTGGCAGGCCAGCAGGCTGCAGGGCAGCAGCAGCAGCGCCGTGTGGATGAGCTGGAAGCGGCCCACGCCACCCAGGGTGTCCAGCAGGTCTGTGAAGGCCATGGCCACGGCTGGACCGGGCAGCCTGCCTGCTTATGTAAAGGGGGGGCGGGCCGGGAGGTGGAGGATCAGGGCGGTAGGGGCTGCAGATGAACCGCTGCAGCTCAGAGGGGTCCGGTTACACCTCACAGGAGGCCTCGGGTGTCCCCACATCGGCTGGACTCCCGCCTTCCGAGCCCTTTCTGTTCGTGGCACTCAGTCTCAAGTCAGAAAGGTGAGGGGCCCCGGAGCCCCTCCAGCCTGCGACTGGCTCCCCTGCCCGCTGGCTCGCACGGGACCGCGCCGAGGGCACCTCGCACCCGCCCCCTTCCCAGGCTGGACCGGGAGAGGCAGCCCAGCCCCGTCGCCAGGGCCTAAATCCAGCCTGGAGCCTGAAATGCCACGAGGTAGATAAGGGGGTGCTGGTGATGCTGGCTGCTTGGCCCTACTCCTCCCCCAAATAAGGGACTTCACAGGAGACTCGGAAAAAGTCCTTAAAAATGCCCAGCTAGGAGGAAGGGTCTGCCCAGCACTCGGGCGCGGGTGGGGGCAGCCAGGCCAGTCAGAAGCACGGAATATGCCGACCCTCTTGTCCAACAGAACCATCGCGAAGAAGGCTCGAGTCCCCACACCCGTCCTCCTGCGGCCCCAACGGGCCCAGCTCCCTGGACGTGAGGTAACCCCTGTTCCTGACGTGCCCCGCCGGCCCCCAGGCCCCAGCCCGCCTTCTGAAGGCGAGGTGCAGGCTCGGGGAGGCCAGACCCGGGCTCGGTGGCGGCAGCATCCGGGCACTCGGATGCCGTACTTGGGGCTCCCTCAGCACCCCACCCAGGCTCCCACAGTCTTCGCTGTGAAAGTGCTGCCTCAGCCTGGGCTCCCCTCACCCCATCTTATCGCTGGCAAGAAGAGGCGGCTCTGCTGGAGACACTTACATAAGCCCCAGGTGAGGCCGTCACAGAAGAGTGTCAGACCCGACCTGAGGCTTTGCCCTGGGGAACTTCCTGGGGGGTCTGGCTTGTGTAAGTAGAGATTTGGGTTGCAGCGGGAGTGTGCGGGAGGCCGAGGTCACCCCCTGGGCCACAGGGAGGGTGCAGGGCAGCTCAGCAACGCAGCCCAGCCCCTGGGGCCCGGATCCCTGACCTCGGGGCTGGGTTTCCCAGCAGGGTGCCCCCGGGGTGATGGGCACCAGGAGTGGGGGGGCAGCTGGCAGGCCGTAGGGGTGAGCCTGAGCTACTGGCGTCCACTGGGTAACAGGTTTGGGGGGAAGCACACAGCAGAAACAGATGGGGTCGTTCCCTTTATTATTTGGGGTTTCTCTGCATGGAAACGAGACCCTCCTGTCCCACACCCAGGTGCTCTGACACCCCGTAACTGGTGCACCCGCCCCTTTAGTGTCCCCTTTAGTATCACCAGTATGAAAAAGGAGGGAAGTAGGCGAGCGCGGAGGCCTGGCCAGGCCGTGGGCTGCTTGGTGGCAGGCACCCTGCAAGATGAGGGGCGGGCCGTGGGGCAGAGGGGAAGGGAGAAGAAGCGGGGGTCGACCTGCAGGGCAGGGAGCAGGCGCTCGGCAGATCTGGGCGGTGGACACTGCGGGGCTAGTGGTTATGGCTGACGGTCAGCAGGTGAGGCCAGGAGAGGAGCTTCTGGAGTGAGGGCGGGGCCATCGAGGGGCCAGAGGCCTGGCCCTAAGCTCCTCCGGAGCCCATCCTGCGGCCGAACAGGCGAAAGCTGCCTCCCGCTTGGTGATGGCTGGGCCAGGGAGTCCCCGTGAGCCCTCGGCCGGGGGAGGCAGGAGGGTCGCACGGCTCCGCCCAGAGCTGATGACTGTGGCAAGGAGGGACAGGAGGGCAAGGCCACCTCCTGCTCTGAGGAAGGCACTTGCAGCTGGCGTGGCCTGCTGTGGCTGGGCAGAGGCGTGGCGCGGCAGACGAGGAAGGGCCGGGAGACAGCCGGGGGCCGAGCCCCTCATGCAAACATGGTCAGCTGCAACCACTGCCGAGCGGAGAGAGGGTCAGCGGGCACCAGAACCCCAAGCCCGGCCTCACTCGCGAGTCGGTGGGAAAGGGAGCCTCTGTTCTGGGAGCACCTTTACCCGGGGGAGCAGGCCGCTGGCCTCTCTCCCCAGACCCTGCGGCCCCACCGGTCCCTCCAGGGCTCAGGCGGCCCAGCGGTCAGGACCGGGCCCCCTGCAAGCTCAGAAAGCCCCTGCCCGTGCCGGGCAGCTCCTACCTTAAACAAATCGAAGGTCACCACTCCGTCTAGATCTGTGTCCAGAGCTTTGAAAAACCCTGTTTGAAAAAGGACGCCATGGCGGGGGAGCACCGGGGTGCAGGCAGGGCCAGCGCCCCCCACTCCCTACCGCCTCCCCCTCATCCCCACAGCACCCCAAGCCCTCTCAGAAGCCACCGCAGCCTGGAGGCGGCCCCTGGCTGGTGGACAGCCCCGCCCTGGGTCCTGGCTCTCAGTGCTCGGCGCCAGGGGCAGGCGCAGGGGCCCAGGGTCCGGCTCGGGGCGCAGGGCTGTGTGGGTGGCTGAGGGGGACGTGGTGTGGGCAGAGCTGCGGGCAGGGTCACTCACGGAACATGGTCTCCAGCCGCACGAGGCAGCACACGAAGTTGTCGAAGTCCACAGTCAGGTCAGGCTCCGAGTAGCGCGTGATGATGAGCTCGTACAGCTTCTTGTTGAGCTTGAAGCCTGGCCAGGGAGCAAGTGAGGCCCGGGGGGGCAAGCAAGGCCCAGGGGGCCGGGTGGCCCCGTGGCTCGGGGCCTGCAGACTCCTGGGAGGGTCAGGGGCTGGGGTGCGGGGCTGGGCCAGCGAGTGCAGGGCCCACGGGGGGCTGGGAGCCCCCAACAGCCCCAGGGAGCCATTTGCTGCCAACGTAACTCTGACACGGGACGGGGGTGAGCCAGCCCTCTCTCCGAAGGCTGTGGGGTGTGGCTGTGCCCCCGCTGTGTGACCCGAAGCCACTCCCTTTCCCTCTCTGAGCCACGCGGGGGGACAGTCCCTGCTAGGTGGCAGTGAGGGCAAAGGAGAAAGCTGAGGAAGCACTTAGCCCGGGAGCCACGGCAGGACGCCACTCGGCGGTCCCCCCCACTGCCCTCGCCACCCGGGACGAGGGCGGCCACCTGCAGCCTCGATGGCCATCCGCATCTCGTACGCGCTCATGCTGCCGGACTTGTCCAGGTCGAACTGCCTGAAGATGACCTGGGGGGTGGAGTGTGGGGTGAGGGCGCACAGCAGCCCCCTCCAGTCCCCCGCAGGGAGGGTGGTTGAGGGGTGGGGAGAAGCAGACACGGGGGTCAGTGGGAGGCACAGGTGACCAGCGGCCGAGGGGCGGGCTGCCAGCGGTGCCACCCACCAGGTAATTGCGGATGCGGTTCCACAGGATGTTGAACTCCACCAGGCCCAGCTTCCCGTTGCCGTCACGCTGGGCGACCATCAAGGAAACGCCGCAGGTTCAGCGGGGCACGGGCGTTGCATGAAGGGGAGCCGGGCACCCCGCTGCCAGGAGAGCAGCTCGAGGGGCAGGCGCCGGCTTCTCTGAGGCGGGCCCACAGGGGTGAGGGCAAAGGGAGTAGTCTTGGGGTCCCTGGGCTCTGTCCACCCCTCACGTGACACAAAGCCTCCCCCTCCCAGGCAGGCGCCTGCGGTGGGC